CTTCCTTCCTTCCTTCCTTCCTTCCTTCCTTCCTTCCTTCCTTCCTTTTCTTCCTTCCTTCCTTCCACCCTGAAGCAAACCGTGTCCAACTTGCCGGATGCGTTGTGTGTTTTCTCCCTCCCCTCCCCCTTGCAGGCGTACCAGAAATGGGTGCGAGAACACGGCCCCGAAAACCCCCTCCTCTGGCTCAAATACACCCACGAGCAGCTCTTCTTCATCGCCTTCGCTCAGGTAACGTCCTCGACGTACGACGATTCGTTTAGCGAACATTCACAGTTGCAACTTAGAGTGCACTTAGCCCCGTTTCTTACCCTTGCCAGCCTCGCCGCAGTCACCTGATCCAAATTCAGATGCTGGGCAAATGATTCATATTTATGACGGTCGCAGTGTCCCCGGGTAGGGGAGGGGTCATGCGATCCCCATTTGCAACCGTCTTTTATGAACATAGTCAATGCAGGAATCTGGATTCACTTAACGATTGTGTTAGGTACTAAAAAACGGCAGTGTTTCACTTAACAACCGGGGCAAGAAAGGATGTAAAACGGGGCCCTTAACCAATGTCTCGCTTAGCAACAGATTTTTTTTTGGCTCGTGGTCATCATTCGAGGACTACCTGCATTAATAACATTATATATATGTGGATCTTTGGTTGTTCGGGTTTTCTCCCGCGTAAGACGTTGCCTAGATACTTTGAATCTTACGCGGGAGAAAACCCGAACAACCAAAGATCCACATACAAATACCCGCGAGAACCTCAGAAAACACACATATATATATGGCATTCAGCTTTGTTCGGGTATTTTCCCACGTCATTGTAGTTGTGCTTTTAAAGTTGTAGCAATGTTTTGGCAGAATCTCATCTGCCATCATCAGGCTTCTGTATTGTGTTCGTCTGTGAGTCAGATTTTTACAAACTGTAACAACTGTAAAAGTCTGACTCACAGACAAACACAATACAAAAGCCTGATGTTTTATATATATATATATATAAAATATGTTTCCTTGCAGACGTTTCGTTACCGAACTAGATAACGTCATCAGTGCTAGGAGGGAGGAAGTTTGCAGTTAGGGGTGAGGGAGTCTACCTTTTCATAGCCTCTTTTGTAAGAGGCTCTGAGAAACGAGATCAGCATCAAAATGTTTCCCTTCCTCCCTGCAGAACTGGTGCATTAAACGGCGCTCACAGTCCATCTATCTCCAGGTGCTGACCGACAAACACGCCCCTGAGCATTACAGGTACCAGCAGGGGCATCCAGGAGACCCCGATTTGGGAGGGCAGGGCGGGGCGGGGGTCAAAGATGGGGAAGACGTTATACACTGAGGGCCGCCTTTCCCCACTCACAGCCTCTGGCTGGGGAATTCTAGGAGTTGAAGTCCGCCCCGTTTGGAAGCAAGCTGAAAGCTGCACATCCGGAAGGAAGCCACACAAGGGGCCCAAGCGTACTTTTTTTCGATGAGTAGTTTTATTATTGCTGTTTTGTTTTGCTTATTTTATTATTTTATTTATTATTTTATTATTTTATATTGTTTACTTTATATTCTTTATTTTACTTTATTATTTATTTACTTTATTATTTATTTTACATTATTTTATTATTTATGTTATTTTATCATTTTATTTTAATTATAGTTTTATAAATAACAGAGGCTGCTTCCTCCTCCTATTTTCCCCATAATAAGAATCCTTTGAGGTGGAATGGGCTGAGAGACAATGATTGGCCCAAAGTCACCCAGTCGGCTTTTAATGCCTAAGAGGGGAACTAGAACTCCCAATCTCCTGGTG